CTTGTGATAGGGTAATGTGATGAATATACCTTTTCTTACATTTGCAAGTCACCTCTAGGTGTGTGTGGATAAAAATGCAAAGGTGCACCTTTAGCAAGGTGAGTTGGTGTTCATGCTTCTATCTCCTGAGAAATGCTGCTTGTTTTCTGGTCCACTGCTTTGAAAACTGCATGGAAGTTGGCAGAATCCTGCCATCTCCTCCTGAATGGCAGCTCCTGAAAGAATGGTGAGAGGACCAAATGGGAGGAGAAGTTTATTTACCCACATTTATCACTCACCCAGAAAATGAGTAATCTCTAATGCTCATACCGCATTGTTTTAAGTGTAGTCCCTCCTGTGTCTGTGGTTTGATGGTTGGTTTACTCTACCAGACAGGGTAAGATTACAGTTTGACCAGCTTGCTTGTCCAGCAACACTCATCGATGAAAGCTGCTCATGTCGACCTGGGTGGGGGTCAGCTTGAGGTAATTGAGTCTTAGTGTGTGAGCCTCTTTCTGTTTGTTTTAAACAAGGAGTCTGCAAACATCAACACAAATAGGAGCCCCTTTCACTCTCACAGTTCAAAGCATTTTCAGAGAGTTTATAACTGCTAATGAACAGTTTCAGAGAAAGCAGATCCCAGGCTTCCAAGATTTGCACGTTTTGCAATATGAGATGCTCAAGCTTGTGTATTGTAAACAAGGTTTAGAAACTCCTCTATGTAGTGGTGCTTTGGACCTCACCAAGCTTTAGAAGAAAATGTCTAACTGTGCCTGGATTTATTTTATAAACCAGGACGGCTTCAGCAGTCTGTGTGGCCTTTCATTCAGCTGTTTGCTTAAGTCAAGCCAAAAGCCACTTATCTAAAGATGATTTATTCTCACTCTTGAGCTGAGAGAACCAGGCTGGAAAGGGTGAAAGCTGAATCGTAGGTTTTAGTCTGAGCCTCTGTCTTAAGTCAAATTATAAGGGGAGCACGAAGGACTGACCATGACATTGTGCTGGAAGGTACTTGTGGTTCTCTTCTACATTGCTTGTCGGACACCTTTTTAAAATAAACAGCCATGGTATGTGATTGACTCAGATTTGAACTTTGCAGCTGTTCCTTCCTATCTGCCTGGTTTGCCAAAGCAAAGTCCTGCAGCTCAACATCTCTAAAATCAAAACCTTAATTCAAATATTGTAATTTGGATCAGCTTCTGCCTTTCTGGTTTTGGCAGTGTAAGCAAAATGGAGGCAAGTGTGTTTCTTTATCTAGTTCAGAAAAATAGATGTTATTTATATACTTTGTATGTAGGAACATTGTGTAGTAAAAGGCAACAGCTGAACAGTCCTCACTAGAGATGTGAAAGTACAACTGGAGGCAGTGTATATGGCTGTCAAAATTGCATCTGAAGAGAAAGAAGGTTTTAAAGATGTTTTAAGATGGTTTGTTTTGTTAGATTGAAACAGCCTAAAGATTTTTGCATTTGAGAACTCAGTTGTATTCTCTCTGGATGCTGTGAGGATCTGATGTTCTCGCTAACATCTTTTCACTGTGTTAGACTTCACTTCATGCAGAGCCTTACCATGAGCATGGTTCCAGTAGCCAATGAAGCTGAAGGTTATAGGTCTGACCCATCCAAGAGCTGTGGTGTCCAGGCAAGGAATGGTGGGTTATATGGTGGGGCAGGATGGCTCTGCCAAGACCCTTGTGCTGCCATGGTGTGCAGCTCATGTGGGCATTTGCTGTGCAGAGCTGTTTCTCTCCTGGGACCCTTGCTTCCTAGTGTGGATGGCCTCCTTTGTCTCCTGTGCAATTGAATGCAACAGTAAAAATAAGGGGGGGCCCAAATGGCTAAGGGGTGGGGCTACTTTTTGTAGTCCTCTTCTTCAGCAAGAGTTATTTTGAATGAATTAATACCAAAAGGGTTAAAGAAGCATTGTATATATTGAATTTGTGTTGTCAAAGCAAATATTTTGACAGTCGGTCAGAAATGGATATTGAGGGGCGTGCTGTGAAGAACATACAGTTCTGTTATGGAAAAAACTTGTTAAGGGATGAGAAACTGAGTGGAAGAATAAACAGCCAGTTTTCAGCCTTGCAAGGGCCTAGCTTGAGTTTCTGTTGAGCAAAAATGAAAAAAAAGGGGGTGAGCAGAGTGCCGGAGTGAGGTTTCATGAAGCACAGATGTTTAGCACAGCCTTTTGCTGGAAAGGCTTCCAGGAATGACACAAACATATTGTTGGAGCCATGGGATGGTTGGTTAGGTTCACTGGGAAAGCCAAGGTGGGGGGAGGAGGTTGTTGGAAGGAAAAGGTTAACTGCATAAATGTGACTGAACTGTAACTTTTCTCCAGTACTCTATTTGCGATCTTTCCTTGCCAGATCTCAGAAAGAAGTGCCTCTGCCCATCCTCTGGGTTCACCATCCTGCTTTATAAGTTTTTGTCTGTCTGCTAACAAAAAGGAGTTGTAGGTGAATGGTTATCTCATTTCAGGGTGTCACTAATGAAAGAATGAACTTATGCAACAGTTCTCGCATGAATAAGAGTACATTGCTCTGCATATGTTTGCACCAGAATAAAATACTCATTGCTTGGGAAAAGCCCAATTGTGAAGGTTTTAATGAAAACCAAAATATATTCAGTTCTGTACTGAACTGTAGTTCTCAATGACATCTACTAACTAACGTTTAGATGCTGCAAAGTTTCCCTGTGTTGCACAACAGGGAAGTATATGCTCCAGTGAATTCCTAAGATTTGACATGACCTCTGTATCATCTTTAGACAGGCTGTTTTGCTTATGCCATGACTTTTCCGGAGATACTGTGTTTTAAAATGTTGATGCAACTTATTCCTGCACTTATGTTTCAATTGGAAAAGAACACTATGGTTTGGTCTTTTCTTTTAGTATAAGATCTCATGAATGACATGCTTTTATGACTGCCAGTGTTCATTTGGAATTTCCACCTACCTATGTAAATATGAACTTTGTTCTCATCTGTGTTCAATAAACAGTATTTTTCATTCAGCAGGTACAGAGTAGGCAGTAACAGCTATGACAGATGTCGAGCTCTCATGTCCCTTGCACCTCAATTAAAATCCTGGAATTACAAAGATGAGGAATTCATATGGGTGTAGTTCTTGTGGAGAAAACCAGATTTTAGAGCTTTTTGGAGCATCTCTTAAAAAAATAAAGACATTTTCAATTAAATTCTCTTTAATCATGCAGATGATATCAGAAGTATGTAGATTTGTAGTGGACATTTCCTACATTCCAGTCATTATTTAAAGTGGAAATACTGAGCAAATTAACTATTTTTTTGGCAGGCTGACACTTCAGCTCTCTGTTATTACAAAGGGTGTATTTGAGTCATTAGTATGCCAGGTTGCTTAAAAAGTTCACACTTTCCCTCCAAAAAATGGAAAATTAGCTGAACTGTTATCTCAGTATGTCTAAAAGCACAGTTAAATATGTTTTGCCTTTTTTGAGGCAATGCCATAAAATTGAACTAAGGGAGACAAATTCCCCTTTATAGCCGTTTATACCAAGGGAATCTGCAGATCTAGATGATTCATTACTACTAGTACAGGAGGGAGTAGAAATTGCTGGATGAAATTCTGAATGTGTGAAGTTGTGGGTGTGTGTTTTGTTTTGCATTCGGTGGGACCAGTATTCAGCCGCTGGACTCAAAACTAAGAAATTAAACACCAACCCCATGACAAAACTAAAAAAATATTGGGGATGTCTGTTTTCCTGGCATCTGCTGACCACTTAGCGTTTGGCAGCAGGGCAGCAGTGAGGTCCAGATCTGCTTCTTGACTCTCTTGCCTCCAGTTCAATGTTGGTATTTTGGGTTTTGTGAGGAAAACTTGGGAGCCTTATGTTCTTGCCATGGAAGGGCGAGAGGCCCTTCATGAGGGCATTTCCTGCTCCCACCCTTGCTTTCAGGCAACTGTGTTTCAATTCAAGCACAGAGGCATGTGTGATGACCCGTTTGTTATTTTGAGGCCCATATTTGGAGAGGAGTTGGAAGTATAATGGTCTCTGCCTCTTGTACTAAGATGAGTGTAACTCTGGGAATGTCATCAGCTACTGTTGAAAGGCAGCAGTAAGGCTTGGGGAAAGCCCTGAGGAACATTTTGCTGCAGTCACAGCATACAGAGAACTGTGGAAGAGGGGAATTGAGAAGAGTTAGGAAGCCCAAGGCTCACTGGCAACCCCTCTCTGTGGGGCTCTTGGACACTTGGCAGTGACTGGAGCACTTTTCCACAGATTCTTGTTTACAATGGTGTAAACCACTCACCAGAGACTGCCTGCATTGACATCAGTTCAAGATGAGGTGTGTGACAAACCTGGGTACAGAACCCAAGAAGCACTGCTCCTGCAAAATCCAGGCTTCAAAGGGGTCACCACATCGCAGGGTGGACTGTCCTCAGCTGTAATCCTGTTCACCTGCTCTTGAGGAGGGGTTGGCTCAGCTGTCGTCAGCAGAAACCTAGAAGGTTGGAACAAGGTTCCTTTATTGCCCTTTGCACCCAGGTGCTAATGGCATGTGGAGCTGTGTTCAGCTTCCGTCCCAGAGGCATGCCATGCCACCTTCCCAAACTGAAGGCAGGAGCTGCACATCTGTGAAACTGCTTAAACGTGTCCTAACATTTTGCTGGGTGACTGCCAGCACCCTTGGTAATTTCGACCAGAAGAAGATGATAGGGGTGTGGTGGTAGGAATGGGTGGGACCGCTGAGTGTTACTGAGACCTTTGCTTGCAAAGTGCTTGGCAAACACTGGCAGTGGGATAGGGCACAGCAGATACTGTAAGTATCGGCAGCAGATACTGTAAGTATAAGTATTGGTAGTGGGGGGGGGGAGATTAATTACTCCCCTGGGACAAACCAGGGAGGTTTCCAGCAAGCTGTTTGATGTGCCCTTGTTAGAGCTTTTGTATGTTGATGTGGATTTGTGCCAGATCTTGGCTCTTTGTGGGGGTGGAAATGACTTTTCTCTCACTGCAGATGTGTTTTCTCTTTTTTCTTGTAGGTGTGTGATGTCAAACAGTGCACAGTCCTTGCAGTCTCCCCCACCAGCCTGCAGTGTCATGTGCCAGTATGAATATTAAGAAAGAAAACTGTATTTCAAAGCTCAGCATCCCAGAAGGAAAAAAGGAGGAACTAAACAGAAAGAACAAATGACTGCACTGCTTGCAAAACTTGGGGCTGTTCATTTTTTCTTCTGAGAAGCCTCATCTTGGCCTTTGTGAGAGAGTTGAGAGAGTAGCCGGAGCAGACACAGTGGTTTTCTTAGGGTCCTTTTTTCCTTTTTTAATTTAATTTTTTCCCCTGGTGCCTGGATTTTAAGACTGTCTGCTGCACTGATCACAAGCACTGGACATCAATATGTGTCATGTCATTGTAACGTGTCGGTCAATGCTATGGACTCTCCTGAGTATCGTGGTGGCTTTTGCAGAGCTCATTGCCTTCATGAGCGCAGACTGGCTGATTGGGAAAGCAAAGCCTTCAAGCTCCGAGGATGTGGACAACAGAACAGGGGGATCGCAGGAGCCTTACCATCCAACTCTGGGCATCTACGGGCGCTGCACCAGAATCTCCCACATGCAGTTTTCTAGACGAGACACGCTTTGTGGTCCTTACGCTGAAAACTTCAATGAGATTGCCAGTGGGTTCTGGCAGGCGACTGCTATTTTCCTAGCCATGGGAATCATGATTCTTTGTACCGTGGCATTTGTGTCTGTCTTTACTATGTGTGTGCAGAGTATTATGAAAAAAAGCATTTTTAATGTCTGTGGGCTGCTACAAGGGATTGCAGGTAAGTGCACTTTGAGAACAACTAACATTTTTAATTTTGGGGCTATTCAGATGAAGAAATACAGCAATTCTCTCCTGTCTGCAGACAGACTGCATTAGGCAGATGCAAAGCAATTCTATACGCTGATGTTTATTCAAACACAACTGAAATTTATAGCTACACAGCATGTAATACATCGACACTGGCAGCAGAATTGCAGCCTGATGTGTGCCAAAATGAAATGACCAATGTTGCTTTTGTTTGCTGTTCATTTTTTCCCCCTCTGTTTGATTTCTTTCAGTTACAAAAACTTCTCTCTTTTGTTACCAGCAGAGAACAAAGTTAATACTCACGTTAAGGCAGTCTATCTCCCTCTCGCTACTTTAGTAATTTTTCTATGGACCAAAGGCAGTTCCCTCAGTGTCTCAGAGGCTTCACGGCTGTGGTGAGAGTAAATACTACCCAAGGACTAAGAACTGCCAGTAGTTGCACACCCAGTTCCTGCAGCATTTCATGCTAAGCGGCCTCCTTCAAAGCTGACAAGTGGTATCTTGTGATAAACCCTTCCTTTAGCCAGCTTATTGTTCACTTGTAGTTACACAGTCCACTAAGCTTATCTTTTCACTGTCAAGGGATCAGCTGTGCTTTGCCTGAAAAGATGAATTTGTTCTAGAGATTTGGTGTTTCTGCTTAAACCCCTAGATTTTACAGAGATTAAATGACTGTTAGCAAACTGACCCTGGACAGCCCTAGTTAGAGAAGTATTCAGCTTTCTGTAGTTGCCAGCAAGCATGGGGAGAACCTGTCTCATACACAGGGTTTTATCGTTTGTGCTCTGTGTGTGTGTGGTCATCTGCAGGAGGAGAGTGGTCTTCTGCCCTACCTCAGGGAGCCCCGAGAGACTGTAAAGAAGGAGGGAATGAACAGGGACACTTCCTCTTTCTCTCTTGGTGGTGCTCTCAAGCAGATGTTTTCAACTCACAAAATTATTTCATTACAACAAAAATTAAGAGTTTTAACTTGTTTGCTTTAAATATGAATCCACCTTTCCCTCTTCTCACCTCCACTGAGGTGGCCAAACATGTCTGTGATGACTGTACCTAGACAGGAGGTGTAATGATAGGTATTCAGAGCTTTATGAAGCTGGTTGGCTTCATTTCTTGGTTGAGACCTAAATTAATCTTACTCTAAACACACATGGAGAAGTAGGTGAAAACTGAATTTACTGACTGCTGCAACCCTCCAGAGTCAGTGTTGCAGGCCACGAACTGGCTGATGCTGGCATCTGAAGCACTAACATGGCAGCTCTTACCATTGTCTGCTTCATGTGAATTCAGTATAAAAGTGTAACACTTACTTCATGTCACCCACAGTGTGAGGTTTGTGCTTCAGAGCAGGATTAGGTCCCTAAATTGGCTAAAGATGCTTCTGTTCACATGATGGCATACAAGTAGCATATTGTTTGTCCTTTAGATAAATATGACAAGTTTTCTGTAATCACTCCTGGTTTACAGAATTTGCCAGAACCAGTGTGACAAGGAAGCAGCTTGGCAGTGCAGATTAAGCCAGAGGAAGTTGTTAGCTCCTTGCTTTCCTACACTATACTTCAGAAATAATCCATGAAACCATTTTTTCACGATGTACAATTACTGATTTTTTTTCTGCTGGAGGGGTATTTGTATGGAAGAGATTGCTTAGCAGCGTAAGTAGATCTTTGGCATGTCTGACTTGGCTCTGGTGAAAAGATAGCTTTACTTACAACTCTGATACCATCTCAAAACACCTAGTCTTATCGTATAGGACGAGCAGGAAGTAGGTTCTTGTATCTTAGTGTTCTGTAGACCATGTATTTGTGAGAAAATACTTGCAAAGACAGTTTTATCATCTATCCAGCTGCACCTGTAATGGGACTTGAGGCCAAAAGGATTGAACAATACAGTTCACAAGCATTTCTTACGTGTTAAGGGATAGATCGGTCCTTCTTGAGCTGTACTGAGGATAGAAGCACTTCTCTTCTTATAATTCGGATAAATGACACAGCATGAAACGGGGTAATAGAAAGGTCACATTACTGAAACCATTGCTATGAGAAGTACGCCTGCCAACATTTGCAGCCAGGCGTCTTGTGGCTCACAACTCATTTTGTAAAGATTAGTTTTCTTGGGTCCACTGCTACTTTTGTGCCAGTAGCATTACAGCATCTGCTTACTTAGTTGCAATTATTTTCTTTATGACTTATAAAGATTGTTAATTTCAGGTTTCTCAGTTCCGGAGTTTTGAAAAATGCTTAAGCAAGTTGCTCAAGAGGGACAGTTGTCAGCATGTTTAAACCATACAGGGATTATGATAGCTAAACTAATGCCCTGACCAGACAACAAGATACAACGCCGCCTTAATAATTTTAAGCATAACATCATTCTTTCAAAGGTGAACAATTATGTTTTTAATAAGTGTAGGAGAAGAATTCACAAAAGAATTTTGTTAATCAGTTTATGTCAGTCCAATATTTGCAAGTATGTCAAACATCTCCTTCTCAAAGATGAGATGCACTCATAGTAGAGTCATCTACAGGAACTCAGGATCTTGCAGATTTAATCTTGTTTAAAATCTCTGTATCTTTGCAGTGGAGATTTAATATAATTAGAAACATACAACAAGTTAATTTATTCCTGGAATTCATAATGAAAAAACAATAACAGACACCGGATGTATCTTTCCAGTGTAGATTGGTTATGACCTGGATGATGCCTACGGTGAAATTACAGAGCAGAAAGCAACATCTCTTCTGTTATGGCCCTTGGACAAACATGCAAACTCTCATGTAGGCCAACAGGAAGAAACCATACACATATCTGGTCCATTGGGATTTTTTTTGTGGCAGAAAATGAGAAATACAAAGCTATAAAGGAAGAAAATATGGCTCTTGTTTAAACTCCTGTAATTCCTTTGTTGTAGAGCAAGATTTTCTACCACTTACTTTCAGACTCCAGTACCTTTCATTCTGCAGCTGGAGAAACAGTAATCAGTAGCCCTGGTTTTGGAGACATTTGAGGATTGTTTCATCTGGAAAAGCATCTTTTTTTCTGTATTAAAGAGTGCAGAGAATGGAGCCACGTAATTGAATAGATAATTACTACCCAGCAGCAAGAAGTCCATGCAGACTTTCATTTGTATGTCTTTTTGGGGAAAGTATTCTATTTTTACAGTCCATGAATCACTTGAAATGCAGAGGCTGGAAGAGGCAGGATGTTATTACCTGACAAGAATCAATTCAAAGTAAATTTTCACAGAAGTCATGTAGGTATAGGAAATAAATAATTAATTATCCCCTAATGACATACCTTGGTATGCATATGGTGTAGTTGCATATGTGTTTACAAGTCTTATTTGGGCTGGTGTACTTCACTTTAGTACTAAGTAATATAATCTAAATATAACCTAGCCTCAGAGGAGGGTGGGGTGAGCTTAGGACAGAGCCTAAACAAGGTTCGGCTTCCATCTTGGATAGTTTATGAAGTTCATAATCAACAATTTTCTTGGCTTCTTTTTTTAACCTGTGTCGTGGCAGGTGGACAGGACCCTTCCCCACAGCCAGCAGCTGCTGGACTTGCAGGTGAGCCCAACCTGCCAGCAGCACCCTGACTACATGCCTGGGTAGAAGCTAAATTAGCTGCACAAATATTGTGTCAGCCACAGAACTTGAGAAGGCCCCTGTGTTTGGTTGTGGGAAGCTCGACACCATGTGCCCAAAAAGGCCTTGGGGAGAGTGGTGGGGAAAGGGTGCTGACATGTCAGGAAGGCGAATGGGTTTGGGAGTTCAGCTTCTTTTACTCCCGCTTTGCCATGCTGGAGCACATTTACCAAAAGAAGATAAAATAGCTCCTCTTTAAAGTCTTTCCAGGGTGCTGAGGGCTTCATCTGAGAGGCCTCTCCCAGGTCAGCCCCTTCTCATCTCTTCCTCTGTTCACAGTCAACTGTCTCCTAGCTCAACAAACTTGACTAAACTGGTTCCTGAGAGAAGCATGGGGGAAATAAAAGCATGTAAAAATTGGATTGCGTCAGTCAGAAAACCAGCTGTTTCCCAGCTGCACACTGAGAGGTATCTCTGGTTTACTCAGGTGAATGCATGGCTGCATTTTGCTGTCATGTGGCTTAGGTGGCTGTGCCACTGCCAGTTATGTCTTTAACAGGTAGACATCCAGTCAGCCAAAGCAGAGGTTTGTGTTTTCCAAGGCTGCTGCAGGCAGGCCAGGAGAAGTCTGTCTGCTTGGGCCTAGATGCTGCAGCTTTGTGCCTCCCTCTGTCACCTCAGCAATTTCTCTTCCAGCATTGCTGGGGGATGACTCAACTTCTTTCTTTCCAGGATCTGAGAGGCCTGTTTTTTCCCCTTACACAGGTCCTGCTCCAAGCAGTGAAGTCTCTTCCACAATACTTTCTCTTCTCAGGTGTCTCCCAGGCTTTCCAGGATTCATTCTTCTGACCTTTCCATTATTTCCCTGTATTACTGTTCATGTCTTCTCCTGTTCCCTTCTGTGGTATCTTGGGGGGTTCCTCCACCAGAAACTGCAGCAGTACCTTGGCAATAGTTCAGTGCCAGGAGTGCAGCTTTACCCTCAAATGCAAGGAAACTTCTCCACAATTTTCTAAAATGAAGAGGTGAAATTCAGTTCAAAGCCAACTGTGTGTAACAATCTATCTTTCCTGCTGAAAGAGTTTGTTTCACATCTCTTGCACTGAGAAATAGTTCAGCCTGTTATACTTACGGGGCATCATTTTCATTTTGGGAGGCTGGATGATTAGGAAGATGGCCTGAGCAGAGGGGTGGGAAACATCTGAAGGAAATGAGGATGTAGAGCTGCTTGTGAAGGTGGATGAAGTAGGATCCAGCTGCACAGGGTGGGCTCAAGGAGTGTGCAGCCATGGAACTGCACAATCCTGGCTGCTGGAACATAAGGAGGCCATTGGGAATTGCAGAGCAGGAAGCAGGAGGTCAGCTAGACCTTTCATCAGAGAGGGTAGAA